CCTTGTTATACAGGCTGGGATCTAATGAATGCCACCAAAACATTCTGGTTTTCTGCGTCTGTGCGTGAGAGAACCGGATTTTAAACACGATTTTAAACGTGATTTTATTTTCAAGTATCTCTAAATGTGCTGCACGCTGAACAGAAGTTTTGCAGCTTGTTAAGATCAAGAAATAAAGATGCTTTCATGTATTTACTGTTTATCTGCTGTTAATGGAAACCTCATAAATTTTCCTACCATATTTATTATAAAACTTTAAAATGCATATTAAATATGGAGGGTGGTGACAACTTCCATTGGCATCTGCCTGGACAGCCTGGCCTTTCCAGACATGCACTAAACTTACTGCTTTCATAACAGCAAAATCTCCCATTTTATTTGCTTAGAATTAAGGAAAAGGTTGAGAGGAGAACTTACTGTTCTTGGACATGGTCTAAAGAGGTGATTTGATTTTGTTTTTTATTAGAAAGATTGAGAAATAAAATCCTCATTTCCTGGATTGAGAAAGATCAGGAGAGGCCCTGTGTGTAAATGTTTTGCATTACACAACGCTCTTCACTCATTAACCAGGTGGAAATCATAGGGAGGGAATGAAGCAGCACATGGAATTTCTTAGAGAAAACAATGAGCTCCGAGCTGGATTGCAGCACCACGTCAGAAGGGACACGTTAATGGATCTGCAGGTTCATCAGAGCTGTGCTGCCTTTCTGAAGGTTTCAGGTGGAAATCCTCAGCTGGGAGTTGACTGAGCATGCTGGTGGTTGTTTTTGCAGTGGATGTCACTGGTGCACCCTTTCAGCAGCAGCTTTCTTTGGGGTTTTGGGGTGGAGGAGCACACAGGGTTTGCAGCAGGCAGCTCCTCCTGCCAGGCTGGATGATGGGGATGATGGAAGCCCTGACGCAGGAGCTCAGGCTGGCACTGCCAGCCCCGTGCCAAAGGTGCCAGCTGAGCTCTGCCAGGCACAGAGTGGCTCTGTGGGTCTTGTCAGGAGGGATGAAACAGGGGCCTGCAAGGCTCTGTGTGTCCTCTTTGTTCCTCAGGGTGAAACAGGGGCCTGCAAGGTTCTGTGGATATTTCAGGAGGTTTGTTCCTCAGGGTGAAACAGGGGCCTGCAAGGCTCTGTGGATCCTGTTTATTCCTTGGTATGAAACAGGGGCCTGCAAGGCTCTGTGGGTCCTGTTTGTTCCTCAGGGTGAAACAGGGGCCTGCAAGGCTCTGTGGGTCCTGTTTATTCCTAGGTATGAAACAGGGGCCTGCAAGGCTCTGTGGATATTTCAGGAGGTTTATTCCTTGGTATGAAACAGGGGCCTGCAAGGTTCTGTGGATATTTCAGGAGGTTTATTCCTCAGGGTGAAACAGGGACCTGCAAGGCTCTGTGGATATTTCAGGAGGTTTATTCCTCAGGGTGAAACAGGGGCCTGCAAGGCTCTGTGGATCCTGTTTATTCCTTGGTATGAAACAGGGGCCTGCAAGGTTCTGTGGATATTTCAGGAGGTTTATTCCTTGGTATGAAACAGGGGCCTGCAAGGCTCTGTGGATATTTCAGGAGGTTTATTCCTTGGTATGAAACAGGGGCCTGCAAGGCTCTGTGTGTCCTCTTTGTTCCTCAGGGTGAAACAGGGGCCTGCAAGGTTCTGTGGATATTTCAGGAGGTTTATTCCTCAGGGTGAAACAGGGACCTGCAAGGCTCTGTGGGTCCTGTTTGTTCCTCAGGGTGAAGCAGGGACCTGCAGGCAGCAGCAGGCAGACATTAACACGCTTGTTCCTTGTTCTGCCCTGGTTATTTATAGCTCCTGTGACACGCAGGATGCTGCAGCATCTGATGCATTTCATCAAATTATCAAATGGCAGGAGGAGGCCTCGTGCTGGGGCTGGTCAATAGCCATGGAAACCACCCCATAAAACTGAGCTGTGTCTGTCAGCCCTGGCTGCCCCACAGGCCCTGGGATTTCCTGAAGCTGCTTCGTTACCCACAGCACTTCGTTAATTGTGGCACAGTTTGTCTTCAGTGAGCGGCACAAACAATAATGCTGACAGAATCCTGTCATAAGCAATCTTTTAAAGTTAAACAGAAGTGCTGAAATTGAAATGTTTGTCCTCAAAATCCAAATTATGTACTTGTGAAAATGAAACCATTGTGCTCCAGAGCCACTTCTTACCCAAACTTATCCATGGGCCTGAGCCTCAGCCTGTGTTTGAGGCTATTTTAGCTTGGCAGCTGTCGCTCTCAGATGCCTCCTGTGAGCAGTGCAGCATCTCCTGCAGCACTGGTGCATGTCATCTGTGCACGGCAGAGCAAATTCAGTCAGTGTCAGGCACTCTGCTCTGTGGGAGCAACAGGTCACCTCTGATCTGGTGTGCAGCTATTTTGTTCTGCTTTGTTTAAAGCCATTTTGAGGTCTCTGTTGGGCTTGACTTGGAGAAAAGTCCTGTTCTTGCTGCAGGGAGAATGCACCATGATTCCTGAATTAATTGAAGTCTAGAATAGAAAGGAAAATCTGAAAATTGTTTTCTAAAAAGTATTATTAAGCTCTAGAATTTCTGTCTGAGCTTCTGAAATTATTTTTTGTGTGCTTTGCTGTTATTTGTATATTAAGAAGTGTCTCTCTCTTGCCTTTCCAAGGGGCACAAAGCTCCTTTAGAGTTGGGTATCTCTCAGTGGCCCAGGGGTAGTTCTGTACATCAATAAAGGTGATTAACAGCAGAATTGGGCAGAAGGATTGACTCCATTCCTACGTGGAAATTTGGAGCAGCATTCAAGGTCCCTGAATTCTGTTATTCTGATGGGCTCCGTGCTAGGCTTGCATTTCCAGCAGGGACTTGTGACATCCCATGGGGTCAAAGGAAAACAGTTTGTCACAGGTTTTATTAATAGAGCTGAATCACAACACAACCCAAATATAACGTAGTTTGGTTAAAAGGAATCTTAAGAAATAATTCAATGGTTGCCTAAGAATTCAAGTGCACCGTAGTAAGTCTCGGGCAAAATAAGGGACAGGAATTGGTTGTTCTCATTGTAAGCAGTGCCTGCCTTTCCACGTTTCCCCATTTAGCTGTTGAATTCCTGCAGACAGGAATTGCACTGCTCCCCGGGATGCTGGGAGTGGTTTGGGCTGTTTGTCACTGCTGCTGCCACCCTCTCTTGCCCAGAGCACCAGCCAGAGGTTTGCGGTGCCAGGGCAGTGACCCACCCACCCACCCCGGCATCAATGAGAATTCCTTGGGAAGCTTCACCTGGTAAAAATGAGCGTGAGTGCACTGGGGACAGCTGTGGCACTCAGCATCCTGCTCTGCACGTACCTGGGTGACTCGTGCCTGTGTGTGGGGCAGGCAGTAAAACCTCCCGTGTTTGGGAGCTCGGGCACCCCTGAGCGCTGCACTGCGGGGTGCTGTGTGGGCTGTCGGGAAGGAGCAGGTGGGGATGAGTAAATCTCACACTGTAATCTCCAAGCCTTTACAAGCGCTGCTTAATTCCCGTCTCCGTGGCCCCGGGCACGTTCCTGGCGAACTCTGCAGTCGTGCTGGTTCTGAGGGTCAGGGTTAGGTGAGGATAGATCCCTGTGTGAGCAAACCTGCAGGATCCCGGAGGCTCCAGAGAGGCTCTTTCCTGGGCTGGGAGCTGAGAGCTCCGTTTGAGCAGAGAATTCACCTTTTTGGGAGTCCTCATGCCCTCATGGAAGCCTCTGATCCCTGCCCACCTCCTTCCAGCAGACGTTTGCAAAAAGATGTGATCCAAAATACATTAACCCAACTTGGGGTGCGTTTCTCTCTAGGGGATTTTAACATCTCACCTCCCTCCCTTCCCTGGAATAGCAGGGCCCACGTACTCAGCATCCATTATCTTTTTTGCAGACAGAATTTGTTATTTACTCGTTGTTTATAGCCGTACACAGTGTTTATAGCAAAGGAAAATGCCTTTTATTTTTTTGCTTGTTTCTTTTTAGGGAATTATGAATTCTCATTTCCCTCCTTTCCCTGGAATAGTAGGGCCCACATACTCACCATCCCCTATCGGTTTTGCAGACAGAAATTTGCTATTTGCTTGTTGTTTATACCCACGTACGCTGTTGATAGGAAAGGAGAAAGCCTTTTTATTTCGGTGTTTACAGAGAAGGAAGAAGTCCTTCTCTAGAACAGAGAGAGGCACTTTGTCCAGCCTTACATCGCTGCTGGCTCCTATGGGGATGTGCCGGGGCCGGGAGAGGCCGCGGGCAGGGCTGGAGCCCCCCGGCCGCGGCTGGACCGGGGGAAGGGGCCAGGAGAGGACGAGGACGAGCGGTAGGGAGAGAGAACGAGAAGGAAGGAGAGAGGACGAGCAGGAGCGAGCAGGGAGCGGCGTCGCGGCCGCTCGGCGCTGGCGGCTGCCGGGGCCGGGCGGCGGCCGCTGCCGGGGCTGCCGGGGGCGGTGTCGGTGTCGGGGCCGAGCCCGGCGGGCGGAGGAGGCGGCGGCGGTGCCGGGCCCGGGGCTGAGGGGGGCCGGCGATCCAGGCCGCCTTTTGCGGCGCGCCCCGCGGAGCCGCCCGCCCAGCCCCGCCGCCATCACACGCTGGGCGCCGCCGCCTCCGCCCGGCCCTGCGCGGCTGCTCCGGGGCTCGGCTCCGCTCCGCGCCCGGCCCCGCCGCCGGCCCCGGCCCCAGCGAGCCCCGCCGAGGAACGCGGGGGCTGCGAGCCTTTAACCCCTGCGGCACCTGCCCCGAGCCCCGCGCCGCGCTCTGCCCGGCCCCGGCTCCGGCGGAGCTCCGAGCGGCCCCGGCTCCAGCCCCGGCTCCGGCGGAGCTCCGAGCGCCGAACTTGGCGGCGGAAGGAGGGAATGCGGCTGGGGATTTTCGGTGTCTTTCCCGAGTCCTTTCCCCCGTTCGCAGCCCTGTAGGTGCGTTCGCTTCCCCGGGCTCCCGGCGCCGATTCACCGCCGCCGTTTGGGGGATTTTTTTAATATTTTTTTTTAAAACATTTTTTTTTGCTGCTGCTGACACGCTGTTTTTGTTATCTTTTATCACAGAAACGGTTTATTAAGGGGTTGAGGCAGTACGGCAAGAACTTCTTCAGAATCCGAAAGGAGTTGCTTCCCAATAAGGAGACCGTAAGTACATTTGGACTTTATGTAATTGGCTTTTTCTCTCGCTGCTTCGCTGTTTGATCTTGCGAAAGTCTTTCCTTTTTACCCCGAATTCTCCTCAGATAAACGGAAGAGAAATCCTCAGCCAGGCAAGGCAGCTGCCGGTTTTTAGTGCAGTTTTTAGGTCTTGGGCTGTGAAAGATGTTACATAAAATAATCGTCATGGCTGGACGGAGCCACTGAGCCTGGCTGAAGTGTATTTATGGAGAGCGAATCTAATTTTAAATTCTGACATTACGGCGGGATAATACATTTTGTGTCACCCGGTGGGGCTCGAGTGGCATCGGGTAAATAAAGAAAAGCTAAACCAGAGCAGCATCTGATGGGATCGGGGTCTGCTGTGACCCGCACCGCGCCGGCTCTGCTTAACCCTTCCCCAGCTGGATCCGTGTCCCGGTGTTGTCAGGGTTATGTAACCCTGTCCCTGCACCCCAAACCCTGCCCGGGAGATTGGGAGCCGTGGGAAGCCCCGCTCCCTTTGCCGTTTGCCCCAGAGAGCCTCGGGCTCTGTCCTGCAGGTGCCCTCCGGCCTTTGGGAAGCGCTTTCGGTTTTGTGCCGGGTTCAGCAGGGAGGCAGCTCCGTGCAAATGGAGCTGGGCTGGTTTCTAGCAGCGTGTCAGGGGTTTGGAGCGTCACGGAGCGCTCAGACTTGTGTAGGTGTGCAGGCTGGATGTGCGCTGGGGGAGAGCGTGGCTGTAATGATATTTAAAAAGCTCTCAGTTTCTGTGGGATGGCTCCATTCTCCTCCCCGAGGTTCCTGTGAGACAGTGCTGTGATAGCACAAATCTCTGGGTGGTAAATAGTAACACTGTGCGAGTTGAAAAGGAAGGGGAGGATGAGACAATTACGAGTTCGCTCATCCTGCTGAGAAAGGAAACTCAGATGACTGCTCCAGCCCTGGTGGACTCGAGGATCCTGTTGGATTTTGAGGTGTGGAGGCCTGGAAAGGTGACAGCTGGGAGGGAATGCTGGGATAGTGTGGATCTTATCAGCATCCTTCAAACCTACACATACCGTGCCTTTCCTCTTTCCTCCAGAATATCTCCCAGAATGGGTCTAGAACAAATCAGTGTTTGCTTTTAGAAATTAATTCTGCTGGTGGTAAAGTTGCTGAGGGGCAAAAGTGCTCTTCTGAGTTTGAATTACAGCAGCTCTGAAGTATATTGTGTCTTTATAAATGGAAATGTATATTTTAAATATGAAATGTGTTTGTTTGGGTTTTTTTTGTGATGGAGAAAAACATTTTGCAGGGGGGAGGAAAGAAAAGCCCTGAAAACTGGAGAGTTTGGGGCAGGTGCCTGCCCCTGTTGTGTGCTGCTTAACTTCCTACATTGGAGCTTGGATATTGGCCTTGGGGTTTCTGTAAAAGTTTTGCAAGGGGTGTTAAAGCTCACAGAAGCTCTCGTTTTTCAAGTGTTATATTTTTGTTTCATTAGGTGTAATTTTTTACTGCAGAGAAGACTAAATATTAAGTCTGAGCTGTGGGAAGTATCAGTTGATGGGTTTGGGCCCAGGGGTTTTTTTAGCCCCTGTGGTAACTGATCTACAAATAACCTTTGACCCACCACGGGTTGTTTATAATCTCTGCTTCCTATTTTTGCCCACAGGCCTCGCTTCTGCTTTCTTTAATTCCCAATCTTTTCCAGCCAGAATTTACAGCCCTTCTGCTGTAGGAAGAGATTGCAGCATAAAGGCTGCAGTAAATATTTGACTGTACAGTTTTGCTTCTGTTCCTTAAAGTGGAATAATGAGTAATGTAAATGACAAGGCTGTGGGATTAATCTGTCTGCATTTTTTCATCGCCAGAATAATTTCAGATACTTTGCCTGCCATTTTTCTGTTGCAGTGTGCAGTAACCCTGTAGCAATTCCAGAAACACCAGAAAAAGGCTTTATTCTCTGTTCAGCCTCCATATTAACATCAGTGAAACTCTAAAAAGTTGTTTAATGGATACTAATGGATAATGAATAACTAATACAACTGTAAAAAGTTGTTAAATGGATACTAAAGCAACTTGCAGGTGCTTAAAGATGTGTCAGGGACATTCTTGCAGTGACTTGCCCCAATGGCTCTTGGACATCTGATTTATTCAGAGTTTTCCCTCTGGTCACTGAAGGTTTGGGGAGGGGACCCAGGGATTTTGTCTCAGCAATCCCCACTAAAAGTTAAATCTCCTTATTACCATGGTTTCTGTAAATTTGTCCTTTCCCAGACCCCTCACTGGGGGAAATTCTCCCTGAACCTGGAAACAGTGGGAGAAAAGGAATGCAACAGAAACAGGGAATTCTTGCAGAGACCAGGCCTGTTTCATGTTGTTCCATGTTGAACCAAGCTGAGGCTGCTGTGCAGGAAATGAGGATGTGAACATGACACTGGATTTCTTGTGGGCTCTGGGAAGGTGTAACGTGGCCCTGTGGGATGGGAATCAGGCCATGCTGTACTGAGGAATGTCCTATTTCAGTTGTGCCTTGCTTTCCCCCTCCACGGTCAGTGTGCAATACCTTCTGAGAAAACCCTGTGTAAATCAGTGTGTTTTAACTAGTTTAACATCGTTTTTCAACCGTTTTTAATTATTTCTTCTAAATGATAATACTCAAGAAAAAAGCTTTATGAAAGAGAATGTCTATTCCATATCAAAGGTGTGTTTGTTTGGGTCTGCACTCGGCTGGTTTATTTCACATTTCCAGTTTATTTCCATGTTTATGTCCAGGAGGGGGTTCCCAGAATTACTGCAATGGATCGAGGGAGGTGCTGCTTTAATGCAGGATCAGGGCTAACCTGGAGGAAAAGTGCATCCGTGTACCTGAGCCAAGGGATTTTTAATGAAACTCCTGGAACTGCCTTGGGTTTCCTCTGACCTGTCTGAAATGCCCCTTCTCCTCTATTTCCATGCAGCTTTTTTCCTTTTATCTTCCCTGGCTGGTTTCCCTTGGCTGCAGGGATGAACTGCCCTGCTCCCCTTGGGTTCCTGCCTGGCAGCACTTGTGATTGCTCTTCATGGGAAGAAGTGAATTTTGGAGACTTTTCAGTGGCATGAACAGTTTTCAATAATTACTTTCATTTAAATTCCCATGTTGTGAGAATGAAAGGTGCACAGCTGGCAGCAGTTTCCTTAACTGTCTGCTTTGGCTTTAAATGTGCTTTAATTCCCCTCCCATCCACCCATTTTGGGATAATTTGCTAAAACTTGGTGATAATACAGGATTTTCCGAGTATTTAACATTCTGCTCTGAATTCTTTACGTGATTACACTGAGCTACTTGAATTGGAGAGTTTTAGAAGCACCGGCATTGTGATAGGCCTGAGATAAAGGCACTTAAATGCCTCCAAGGTTGGGGCTTGTGTTCCTGGGAGCAGCTTGCCGCTGTGCTGGCTTGGTGCAGGAGGTGAATGCAAACAGGGCATGGAGCGGGAGCAGGAGGTGCCAGGTCCTGGTGTCACCTTGCTGGGACAGGTCCTGGTGTCACCTTGCTGGGACCCAGGGCTGGCTCTCCCTTAGCACAGGCTGCCCTTGCAGTTTGTGTGAGCTGTCCCAGCAGGGTCAGGATTGTTCTCCTGGCCTTCTGGGCAGGGGGGGTGTCTGAGCAGTGCCCCAGAAGTGGGGTGTGTGTGACTGTCCCTTTGCTAGGTGCAGGAGGGGTGTCCTGTCACCCTGCCACGCTGCCATGGCCTTTGCTGCGGCTGAATTGAGATCCTGGAGCCACCTTGTCCCTCCTGGGGATGGGCCTGAGCACTCTGGGCTCTCCTGGGAGCTGGGTGACAGCCCTGGGACATTGTGGGCTCTGCAGGGTGACTGACAGCTCTGGGACATTGTGGGCTCTGCAGGGTGACAGCCCTGGGACATTGTGGGCTCTGCAGGGTGACTGACAGCCCTGGGACATTGTGGGCTCTGCAGGGTGACTGACAGCCCTGGGACATTGTGGGCTCTGCAGGGTGACAGCCCTGGGACATTGTGGGCTCTGCAGGGTGACTGACAGCCCTGGGACATTGTGGGCTCTGCAGGGTGACAGCTCTGGGACATTCTGAGGCTCTGGGTGACAGCCCTGGGACATTGTGGGCTCTGCAGGGTGACTGACAGCCCTGGGACATTGTGGGCTCTGCAGGGTGACAGCTCTGGGACATTCTGAGGCTCTGGGTGACAGCTCTGGGACATTGTGGGCTCTGCAGGGTGACAGCCCTGGGACATTGTGGGCTCTGCAGGGTGACTGACAGCCCTGGGACATTGTGGGCTCTGCAGGGTGACAGCTCTGGGACATTGTGGGCTCTGCAGGGTGACAGCTCTGGGACATTCTGAGGCTCTGGGTGACAGCCCTGGGACATTGTGGGCTCTGCAGGGTGACTGACAGCCCTGGGACATTGTGGGCTCTGCAGGGTGACAGCCTTGGGACATTGTGGGCTCTGCAGGGTGACAGCTCTGGGACATTGTGGGCTCTGCAGGGTGACAGCCCTGGGACATTGTGGGCTCTGCAGGGTGACAGCCCTGGGACATTGTGGGCTCTGCAGGGTGACTGACAGCTCTGGGACATTGTGGGCTCTGCAGGGTGACTGACAGCCCTGGGACATTGTGGGCTCTGCAGGGTGACTGACAGCCCTGGGACATTGTGGGCTCTGCAGGGTGACAGCCCTGGGACATTGTGGGCTCTGCAGGGTGACAGCTCTGGGACATTGTGGGCTCTGCAGGGTGACAGCTCTGGGACATTCTGAGGCTCTGGGTGACAGCCCTGGGACATTGTGGGCTCTGCAGGGTGACTGACAGCCCTGGGACATTGTGGGCTCTGCAGGGTGACAGCCCTGGGACATTGTGGGCTCTGCAGGGTGACTGACAGCCCTGGGACATTGCCCCCTCTGCAGGGTGACAGCCCTGGGACATTGTGGGCTCTGCAGGGTGACAGCTCTGGGGAGGTTCTGGGCTCTGCAGGGTGACTGACAGCCCTGGGACATTCTGAGGCTCTGGGTGACAGCCC